AAAGTTTCAGCCATTAGACGGCATCCGAGAGTGTCTCGGTCGTTGTCGTTGCCACCGTCGCCACCGCCGCCGCCGCCGCGTTTCTCCTCCCGCCAATCGCAATTTCGTTCGCAAGATCGAATTTTACGAGTCTCGCGATCGAGTAATAATAACCCGTTGCGATAGCGCACTGTGTATCCTTGAAATATTTTTCCAGTCATAATCACGCGCCGTTATTTCCCGCGCTATACGGCAGCACGCGTATCGATTTTATATATCTTAAAAAGATATACGCACCAATAAATAATGCTCTTGTAACTTATATAGTTTGAAATTAATTAAACCAGCCGAGCGCGCGTTCTGCGAAAATCCCTCGACAGATTTTACTCGCGCGCGTGTATATTACACACGTATAAATATTTGTTATGCAAAATAAAACCAACTCACCCAATCTTCTATCAACTAATTGACTATAAATAAATTGCAATAAAATTTTGTTCAAAGAAATAAATATATTTTATAGTAATGTAGACTGTGGTTTATTTTCGAAAAAAACTCGTGTACCACAATCCGAGCAATAAATAGAGAAGAAAATAAAAAACCTGTAACTTTGTCTTTGATATTATACAGACGTCTCCAGAGCACGTGTCTTGAACCGAATTGTCACGTGTTTGTACAAATTCCCTGTAAACAGATACGAAAAGAACAAGTCGAACGATAAGACTTGTCTTCCGGTATCGTTTCGAAGAAAATTAGAGATCAAGATCATGGAGGGTGGCAGGTTTTCCGGGGCAGAAAACTCGGCGGATAGATCGTCCGGGAGGTAACATGACTGATTCCTGCAATTACGCCTGGACGACCTTCGAGAGGTCTTTCAGATACCAATAAGTCTAGAGAAGACTCGATCTCGGAGAGGAGGAGAGGAAATAGGACGAAGCCTGAGAGATGCTCGAGCGATGCCACGGACCGATAACGTATACGTCTCTCCGCAGCAGGGTCTTGTTGTCTTCTTCTTCGGGTCGACGACGCCGTCGTCGCTGCACGTTAGAGCAACCTCTGGTAAGGCAGACGAACCGTCAAACAGATTAAAATCAAGAGAGGGGGAGAAAAAGGAACGTCGACGAGGAAGATAAAGGGAGAGGAGGGGAGGGAGAGGAGCGGACTTCTATTTTCTCTCTCGCGGTGTACGCGCAGGGGTAAAAGTACTGCAGCGCCAGATCTGAAATGAAAATCTGCGGAGGGCTCGCGGGATAATTCGGTGGATAGGACAGGAGAAACGCGAGCAAGAACTGCCGACAAGCTGATTAAAAAGTCGCCTCGTGAATCCGAGGAATGAATATAATCTCTGACAAATATTTAAGTTGCTAGCGCGCTGCGAGATGCGCGCGCGCGCGCGCGCACGTGACCCGCCGTTTTGACTGCGTTACTCGATAACGAATAAAAGTGACCGTTCCCCCGAAGCTTGGCTATCTCGCCGGAAATAATGCCACTTTGCGGATTAATCCGTACAAAAAGTGCCGACTTGCGTTTTTCCGCGATTATCTCCCGCATTGCGATAATAAATCAAGAAGAGTGGGGAAGCGATTCTCTGTCGGAACCGGGACGCGCGTTCACAAATGAAAATACGCATTTCGAAATCATATGAATATTCGAGCACTCAAATGATATTGCTTTCTGTGTTAAATCTCGAATACATGTTGCGCGCGCTCTCTCTCTCTCTCTCTCTCTCAAAACTTTCAAGAGATGAAAACTTCTAATATACGATCATTTGAAATGTAATATCTACATTTAGATCCGATAAATTATTCACAGTTCAATGTGTTGAGGAGATATCGATATTGCAATTCGCAGACATTCGCGTAGCTAGCTATAAAGCAACGTTACTCTTGTATTACAAAGATGATATAAAAGCTCCCATTTAATTAATACGGTTTGTAAGTGAAGCGAAAGTCAATTTATTCCAAAGGGAAACGATAAAGATATTTTAATCTGTGAGAGATTTATTTTTCTCTTATCGTAAGATTCATATTTTACAGTCTTTTGTATGTTTTTACGTAAATGTGTACACTCTCGTGTGTTAACCAAAGATTCGAAAGCCGCAACACAATTATAATCGCAAAAAAAAAATATATATATATATATACATATATATGTTGATATGAAAAAAAATATATATATATATACATATATATGTTGATATGAAATCACACTGATATTTATTGCTTCGGCTTTCTGCTGTGACAACAAAAGATCGTGTATCACCTTCCGCAGCCGAGGCCGAAAAATGTTTTTGCCGTTATCAGATAAAACTCAAGCGGCGAAAAAATACGAGAGAAAGGAGGGCTTTAGTCGAATCTGCCGGGTAAGCGCTTTTTCCTCGACACCCCCAGCAAAGAGCTGTGCGGTGGAGTTCCCGGTTATGTAGAAACATTTTATATAATCCCGTGCCGCGCATCGGTGAAGAGAATCTTCAAAAATCCCGTCGCGCTTTCTAAGAATTGTATTCTTATTCCGGCCGATCAGGGAAAAACGTGCTGTCAGCGATTTCATCCATTGCCGTCTTTGTCTCACTGACCGACTTTAAAAAAAAAAAAAAAAAAATCGCTTTATCCGAGGAGAGATTCCGCGTATAATACCGAAAAGAAATCAGACGCAAAAACTTGCTATGAGATTATTATAAAAGATATATATATATATATATATATATATATATATATTCAATTTTATAATCTTTCCCTACTTTCGTAAATATTTGGATAACGTGCGACAAAAATCTTTGAGTAATATTTCTGTATAAAGATTGGAGATACTTTTTTTTAAATGTAAAACCGAAATCTAGTTTGCAATTGCCTTTAGATGTGCAACACAGTGAATTGTATTTGTAACACACATAAGCTCATACATATAATCCGGGTTAAATTCTATCTCCGCAGGAACCGATACGCGCGCGTTCAAGCCAGAGATCTCTCACTGAGACTGTGCACGCGCGGCCCTTTGACTTCCCTTTGTGCACGCGCTAATATATCTGTATTATTTAATTATCGGCATTATTCCAACACATTAATTAATCAATCTCAGCTTTCAGTTGCCAAAACCAAGCCTATCTAGTCTTAGCGCAGTTGCGATTCTCCTAATTGAACATCATAAAGGAAACGTATGTACATTGCAAACAGCTTGAATCACATTGAGCTTTCGGACCGCGCAACTCAAACGCAAGTTAAATTTAAATGCCGAGAGGGGAACCAAGTACATACATAAACTAAAGCTATACACAATGTTGTTCCCGTTGTGCAACGGTATATAAAAAAAAAGAAGCGATATTTTCACGTAATGATCTACCGATTTTCTCAGATTGTTGTTGTCCGAAGATAACACAATGCGGGCGATTGACGATGTTTTTGGGTCTCTCCCGGCAAATTAATCCTCATTCGTGACGAGAGGGGGAGGAGGGAGAGGGGAAGGATTGCATGGCAAGCGGCGATTAGACGCGTAGCTAATCCGCGCGCTCCGGACGGTCATCGTCGAGCCGCGTCGCGACGCTCCGGCGGCTCGACGGCGCGCACAGACGGTCGTGCGATATTGCGCTAAACCGAGCAATTACCGGGCCGTAATCCCGGTAATAGAATTCCAATATGCGTGCCAATTGGACCGAGTCCTCCCCGAGTGCGGGCGTGCAGGCGCGAAGCCGGCAGGCGAAACCCCCTTGCTTGCTGTTGCTGCACGACCTCGACGAAAACCGTGACACGGTTCGGCCATTAGCTACGGTCTCGATTTATCTGGTGGGCCTCGCCCACAGTGTGCGTTCACCGGCGAACAGCAGCACGTGTACACACAGCACGCGCCTCTTCCGCGTACGCATATCGGCGCATATGTGCGCGGCGAGCCGTAACGAAGCTGTCCCCGGAGAGGACACTTTCGTCGAGAATTCATCCCTTCTTCGTTCGTCCGTTCGGTTCGTCTTTCGGGGATTGCACGCTCGACGCGTGACGTGTCACGGTCACTCTGAGAGCACAGCCACGAAATTTCAACCCCGCCGCTCGCCGCCTCCGACGCTCAGTGCCATCCACGCGTATCGAGCCGCGTACACACACGGGTTAGAACAGAAGGAAGGGGGAAGATATCCTATCCCCGAAACCTAGCACGCGGAGGACTGTACAGAGCAGGATATTGAAACCGGCGAAATTTCCTCGAGTTCAATTTTCGATATAGATATGGAATTCGATGCCGTCGATACGCAACATAGTGCAAACCAGCATCTGCAATCGTTGCGGCGCTTCATTACGCGTTGATATGTCCGCGGTGCAAAAAAAAATTATAGTCCGATTCGCGTGAGAGTCATCTTTGCTCAAAACATATGTATAAATTTTTTCGCAAACGACATTAATATCGTTTGCGAAAACAAGAAGGTTTAAAAATATAGAGCAATTGGAATAATAACTTGCGATAAGTAGAAACTAAGAAAATTAAATAGAAAGAAATAAATAAAGAAAGAAAAAAAAAGCAAATAGATCTTTTCGAAATAATTAACAACCAAGCTTCTCTCAGGTATAAATAATAACAGAAGAAACTGCATTATTTATCAATATTCTGTTTATTTCTTCCAATCAAAGTTTTCCTTTGCTTTGTATTCACACAATCGGAAGAAAAACTCCGCATATTTAAGACATTCATCTCGCACACGTACATTCACGTTTCTGAGTTGCACAAAGCTACTTACGTAGCTTCTGTGAAGCTGGGTGAAAGCGCAGCAAACAGGAAATGCGAGAGAACGGGAGATAGACAACAACTCGAATAACTACGTATCGCGAGCTTTTCGTGCGCGAGAAAAACGCGAAAGTGAATTGCCTCGTCATTGAGACTCGCATTGAACCGCGAGCAAGTGGACTTTTCGCTTTTCTGCATGTTTATTTGCAATTTGTCAGGGAGAATTAGCGACGAAACGTGAAATTACGTGAGAGAACGTGACATGACGCGTGTTTGCCTGTTGCGCAATCACATAAACGTCTAAACAACGGTATTAATTTTTTTTTTTTTTTTTTTTCATCTATTCTACGCGCAGAAGTTTCGTTTGGAGTGACGGATAATAAGTGTAAAAAAAACAAATGGAGTATTTGTAATTTAAGATTTTCTTTTTCGTCGTGTTTTCAAAAAAAAAAAAGTGAAAGAGACACATTCGGGAGATTGTCACGTTTTTGTTCCGTTAGAATATTCTCTCCCCCCGGCTTTTCTCATTTTCCAGACAAGCGAACCTAACGTTTCTAAAGAGGGCAAATTACTGGTTAAAGTACTTTGTACGAGGAACTGGAGTTCGGCAAAAATACTGCTTAGTGCCTTTATCTTATCAGAACAGAAACGCGCCGTCTCTTCCAGCTAAACGGGCACGAAACAAAGGACTAAGAGCTCGCGATCAATGTATATATACGTGTGTGTACGAGTGAGGGTCGAAGGTCTCTACCGAAGGATATATAGAGAAGAACTCGGGCAAGAGAGGATCCCTTGCCGTTAATTGGACCAAGTCCGATGATGTCGCCGCGCGAATTGTCGGCCACGAAATTACCCCGATATCTTCTCGCGTAGTCGTTTGGAGCTCGGGCGGTACAATCGGAACCGAACGCTACACGGATTTTCTTTTCCTCGTGCCTCTCGCCGACGACTCGGAGAGAGTCCAATTACCCTGGCTCGACGGTCGGAGACCGAGAGACGAGTTTTCGTCGGGACGAAAACCGCAACTTGAAACGAAATAAGGTGAAGGAATAATAAAAAGAACATTTCGCTCGAGAGATGTCGTCTTTTTCCATCTTTCCTCGCGAGAGCGTTGCAACGTTCGACGCAAATTATCGATTTTATTGGAGCGCGAGATAAATTTAACGCCGATTCATTGCGCGATTACATTTAATTGCCTCCAATTAAATCGCCGTTCCAATTAAAATCGACGCGAGCGCAGAGGGTTCATTACGATTTATTGGACCGATTGTAGCGGCTCTTCTCTACAATCTTGCTCTCATGCGTTTTCGCATCGAAAATTTGCAAATATAAGTCAATACGCTTCCTAATGTATTTCGAACTCTTCGTGGTATCTTCTCAGCAAATGCGTATTACTTTATTTTTCTTCAATTGTATTTTATTTAAACATTAGCACTTATATAGCAAAATTAACATAATGCCTCATAACAAAGATCACTTTAATGTTTTTTTGCATTTTCATCATAGTTGCTTCTATAATGATAATTCTGATATATCGCTGTTAAATTGTTTTTTTTTTTTTAATATAATAAATATTTCTTTAAAATAATGACATATAAAACGGCTTATGTATTTTACAAAGTCATATTTTCTCTATAAAAAGACACCTTTGTTATCAGCGTCAATGTCGAAAATATATATGATTACATCCCATATATATATATATTTATATATATGTAGCAATATGTCCTTGTATAGAATCAAACACGATTCTTACAAAGCAACGTCACAGAGTTTTTCACAAAACACATGCTCAAGAAACAATGGAAGCATTCATTGACTAGTCGGTGGCGAGCCACCACTATCGTATTGACTTTTGTTTCTTAATAAATAGCCGGCTAGAAAGCTTATGGGGTCAGCTGGTCTCTCCTTGGCCAAGCAAGACAAAGCTTGCAGCAATATCGGTACTACTGTCTGATCCAAATACTGTCTAGTTGGAAGAGATTGTACTTCAACACGAGATTTCTTTGCTGGTGCACCAGACAAATCGCCATCCTTATCCATTCCTATTACTTTCTGCAAAAAAAAACAGAGAAAGTTTATGAATTAATATATACAGAAAATTAAAGAAGAGAACTTCAATTATATAAAATTAACGTTATTCATTGATAGATCTCACGTATATAAGTAAATTGGAATATCTCACATATGTTAGATGCCAAATGATAACACGACACACGTTTGTCGAACTCTAACCTAACTTTTTTGCAGCGCAAACACGCGCATTTTGTAAATCGAAAACGTGCGTAAGCTACGCGTGTTAATCAGCTGATACGCTGATGTAACGAGGAGTCAAATCAGATATCGCTGTTAGCTGACGAGTTGTCGCAATATTTAACAGGTTATATTTACTTACGTTAGTCGTTTCGGAAACGACATTGGAAATGGGTTGAGCTGGAGTTGATGTTTCTGTTCGTTCTTCGGCTGCGTTTTCTGTTCCAGAACAAAAGAAACAAAGATTAAAAAATGATTGTCCCTAGAACAGGATTCTGAATACCAGGTCAAATCTCGCGAAACGACCAGAACTGCGTGTGATTGCACGAGAATGGAAAATATGAATGGACACGTACCACCGCCGGATGCCATGGTGTAAACAACCGTCACCGCACCACGATAACGATGCCGCTTACAAGCCGGTAAACTGCGCGGTCGATAAGGTAGCTATAGAGAGAGAGAGAGAGAGAGAGAGAGAGAAAGAGTTACACACATAAAAGGGTACATCTACATATATACAGTATTTGTTCAAAAATTTTGCAAATATTAAATTTTATGTCAATCTAATTTTTTAACATAAATAGTTACTTTGTTAAATGCACAAATATATATGGTGTTTATTCTTTCTTGTGATAAAATATTTAATAATATAGCAAATATTTAATAATACAGCAAATATTTAATAATATAGCAATATTTAATAATATAGCAAATAAGTAACGTACAAAATAAAAATTAAATTAATATATATCTCGTTAACATTTTTCAATATACATAAAATATCTCCTCGCATACCTTTTTGTTCTTAAATAATCTGTCAAGGAAAGAGAAAGACGACTCGGTGACCATTTTAAGTTTTATTTATTTAACGCAAAAGTTAGACGCTACAACTTTGGTACAAAAACATAAAATAGTGGCGTTGAGAGGAAACGGTACACTGCGAGCGGATCCTCGAGTCTCCGCGAGAGCGGAGGATGTTACGCGCTCTTTTTTTTTATTTTTTTTATTTTTAAAATTTTTTTTATTCTGCTTTTTCGTTTATTAGACGATTTATCGTGATCCGGCTTCTTTTTCGCGGACGCAAAAGGATTGCAAAAACCAAAAAAAAAAAAAAAACGCGAAGGAAACGCTTCGAGTCTGACAGGCGACGATAAAAGGAGGGCTTGAGCTCGAAGAACCGCGTTCGCCGTCGTACGGAAAAAACAGCCAAATGCTTTCAACGCAAATATATATATATATATGTATCAATCAAGCATACACAAGCGAGCGACGCGCTTCGGCGGCGCTTCTCAAAAAGTAACATCGAGAATCCTGCAAAGAATTACCACACATAGTACACGTCGTCGCGCGACGAGCGAACGATGGGCTTGGGGATGCTCAGCAAGAAAGGCACGAGTGTATGCGAATGTGTGTGCCAATTATTTATATGAGCACGTTTTACGTGAACGTAAAAGCAAAACACAAGCAAGCAACAAGGAAATGAAGCAAATGGATATACATTGGACGCAAATTCTCAGTCTTCAAGTTGTTATTTACTTATTTATCAATACCTCAGCTGAAAAAACATTTGATGTTTCGCCGAAAATTCGACTTAACTGATTGTCTGAATGTTTTTTGTTTTTATTTTTTATTTATGTTGAACCTTTGTTGCCAAGCACCCCGGACCGATGCGACATAAACTTTATCACCTGTGCGACGTCGCGGACGTCCACTTCGCTTAAGACAAAAGATAAAAAAGATCCGCGGTTACATTAGCGCGCGGATCACATGATCACATCACTATATGTATACGAATGCGTTAATATCGTTTTTACCATTATCATCGGTCTGTGCCGTTTTTTAGCTTTTGGTTAGATTCGGAAGCGATTCAAAGCGACAAAAAGTTTTCACGGGGTCGATTTTAGGTGAGTAGAACGTGTGATACTATAAGTCGTAAAGGTGACTTAGGTGTGTGTGTGTGTGTGGGACGATACGGCTACGTATTAATAATTACGGTAAGATCGCGATTGTAACATATACACGAGACACGAGGCTTTTGCGCAGCCTTTTAAAATCACATCGATGAGTAAAAATGCGTCGGCATGTCGAGCCGCGGCCAGTTTCGGAAAGGCAGAGGGTAGGAATTCCTCCGCGCGATCGGAAGCGACTCGACGAAGCACCCTTGAAATTCCACTCCATCGTCAAGCATCACAGGAACGCTCCTCTACTTTCTCGATCAACCCGCTCGCATTTTTTTTTTTTTTTCTTCAATTTTGATTAATTTTTTTTCTCGCGAAATAACGAAACATTGTGCTCCGGCAATTTAGAGCGTACTAATTGCGATGCAAATTAAATTGTTTTCTCTTTGAGATGTATCCGCGATATTCGTAACAAAGTACGAATATTATTTTCACGGAACTTCTTCGGTCAATATCTAACTAAATCTAACAAAAAAGATAGATGAGAAACAACACACTACGTATAAAGCTAAAAATCAAGGAACAATTTACGAACTACATTTCTCTCAACGTGAGAATATTCGCACGTCGCATTCAAACTTTCATTGTTCGAAAATATTACATTTTCAGAATAATTAATCCTGCGTGAGGAACGTAACTAAAACATACGTTACAACTCGTTTATCTCGAGAGTGCTTTTTCGCCCGGTCGCCCAACTGGAGGCCGGCTCGTGCATCACCTTGGCAAACAAATGCGACACCTAGAAATAGCTACTTACAACGTATGTATAATATAATATATATATATATATATATAGTTAGTGTATTATATAATATATATATAATATTTATATTTTATATTTGTATGTATATATCTAGAAGTAGTATCGTGATAAAAACGAACTATGAGACGCGACGCCGTGACCGCGGCGTCGCGTGACGTCGGGCTGGTGCCACACACGCAAAAGAATCATCACCCCCGCTCTGTTCTGTAACGAACCAACGAAGACGAATCATCCGATCGCGGATGGACGTGTTCTCTCTTCAATTCGCGCGCGCTTTTGAGGAAATTCCGTCAAAAAACCAACCCGGCCTCCCGCATCGTCGCTAAGATACACAACGTCTTCTCGCGACCATCCGTCCGACTTATGAGCTATCTACGTTAAATCAGCTTTTTTTATTACTCGAATCGCTTACATCTGTAACGATCATCGTCGCGATTATTAGTAAATCTTATCGGTACGTCGTAATCGATCGAAGAAGATTAGCACGGGGGAGTAATGATTAAAGGGTGTTTACTAAATATTTATATCATATATATATATATGTGTGTATATATATATGTATATATATATATAGGACGACAGCAAGTGTGGTGTGTATTGCGTGCACGCGCCAGCGCGCGTGGCGATAATGTGTTGTAATGAATCATAATAATCGTATGGCTGTGGCCTGCCGTGTACATGTATCGAAGCGTTCCCTCGATGGTTCTGCCGCGATTGTTCTTCCTACGGACAGTCGATTTTTTTCGTGTTGCATATGAGGCGCTTAATTCTATATCGAGACAGTGGGATAACGTCTCAAAAAACGATAGGCGGCCTATAACGTTTTTTTTAATCGGTTAAAAGAAACGACGACGTACCCTTGATAAATCTTGTTCTCCGCGACGTCGAGACCCAAGATCGCCGATCGTCAAGGGGGACAGGGGTACACAACCTTCGTTACGAAATTATAAATCGTACAGTATATTGTATATAGTGTGTATGTATGTACGTATATATCATACGCCCGCAGGGAGCGGCAGTGTGGCACAACCATGACTTAAAAAGCGACCAACTAATCTCATGTGTGTGTCTACATATAATCGTTTTTTTTTTTTTGTTTTTTTACGATCTCTCTTTCCCCGCAATATTACGCAACTCGACGATTTTAATCTAGGATTTTACAGTCCCGGATTACAGTGTAATGTGACATCAGAAAAAAACCCCCGTTAAATCCACCGTCGCCGAGAGCATCATCGCGGGACGCGTCTCTGTCGCGAGTTGAATGTCCGCGAACACACACGACTTCCGACGGTGGGGTGTTCGCCTTCCTACAGAACATCTTCCCGCGACAGTCGCGAGTCACGAACTCCGCGTATACATACACAAATTACGTGAGAAAGTGCAAATAGCCGCTTTGATAATCGAAAAACATTTTTTTTTTTTTTTCATGCTAGAGCAGCTAATTATAAGAAATCTCTCTCCGGATCACGTGGTGTGTTGAATGAATTATTGCCAAGGAAGACTCGTATCAAAACGTAAAATCTCTAATTCTCTTCTACGTTTCTATTTCTTCGCTCAGTATATAAAACATTTCACGTGACGTTAATTAAATGTGTGTGTGTGTGTGTGTGTGTGTGCGAGGAGTTCTAGAAACTCGCAAAAGACTTGCGAACGAAACGACGCGGCCGACTTCGCGAATCGCTTGCGTCTCCTTCGCGAAAGATAGTTTAGTAGATAGGCAGTCTTGAGAGTTTCAGGCCTTCTTGAGATGTGCGTAATCGACTGGCTTCGAAAAAGTGTGTATCAAAAAGGGCAGTTTCAAAGGTTTGAGCTTTCTTTCTGGGATTCAAATAATAAAAACGTGTTTGAGACGAAGTAGAGGAATAGAATGGAAGGCCGAAGAAACGTGAGATAATATAGATAATAAAAAATATGAAATATATAATGATCGCGAGACATGTGATAGAGAGCGAAGGAGACGGAGTCCCATTTCGCGAGGCAGACCGCGGGATCTTTCGTTCGTCAATCACGATCTCGAGATGATATCAACACACGTACATCTTAAACGGTAAATCGAATTCTATCTACTCGCGACGACGTCTAAATTTCTATCGTAAATCGTTGCAAATTGGACCGACGACAGCACCGGGGGGAAGAGTTAGCGTGCGCTTTATTTCCGCGACTCTCGGCTGCTTTCCTCATACGGTCGCCGGCTAACGAGAGAGGCGGAAGATCACGGAAGATGATGATTTACAGGTTACACTGCCACAGTATCGTAGGGTGTGAGGAGTCCCCCGTGACCGCCGTGGGGGCCGGTTTGCCGGCCGGGAGCTTCGTTTCTGCAACAGGAATTTGCATTTCTGGCATCCGACGCCGCAACTAAACCGAATGTTTCTTCACGAAGCTTCAACAACACCCGGGCGTGCAAATATCTTCCGTATAAATCTTATTCAAAGTGTATTTTTAATTGTATACAGTAAATAACACAATAAATTATTATTTTTTTTCGTCTCCATATTTGTGACGTGTTAAAATTAGTTTAAATTTTACATTTCCCGGAAGTTTGTTTGTTACATATGAACATTGTGAACACGTGAAAAAAGATATCTGCTCGCAAATCGGGCGTGAATCATGCGCAATAAACAACAACTAGTAGCGATGACGGCGATAAAATTAGTTACGTCATGAATAAACAAAAAAATAGAAAGATGACGATCATGTGCCAGTCGTTAGTAGCATCAGTTGACCGATTAGCGGATTCAACAGCAGAGTAGTGACAGTAGCAACAGCTGCGGTGGAAATATGGTTAGCATCAAAATTTTTTACGCAGTTTTTTTTACGTCTTCGACTTAAGTTTACACAGCTACACATAGCACTATATTCATTAAAGCTACATGCAGACACATTGTTGTATTAGTAAAAGCGTTTTCGACGATGGAGAGACTGGGAAAAACTTTGCCGTGTCCGGTAAGCAACGGTTTGGAAGGTCGTCTACACTGCTCGTCGCAAAACAAATCAGGTAGCCGAAATTTCAATGGGATATGATGAAAAATCAGTGGAAAACATGGTATGACGCATCTCAAAAAAGCTCTTCACACATGTCTTTAACGTTCGTACATCCTGGTTTGATTATGTTTAACGAACTTACGGCTTCCTGTGTAATTAGTCATGAAACAAGAAAAGAGATCAGATGTACGTTAATAAATGGTTAAAAACAGTTTAGAGTCAAATTAATTATTCGAGGTTCTTCGAAAGTCGCTAGTGAACCACCGTGCACTCGACTAGTCGTTATCGACAATTTTCATTACCGAGTACTACTCGAAATGTAGATTTTCGAATTTGATTGAAAGAATCGGCGTGATTCTTTACACGAAGGGGAAGAGAACATTTCGTAGAGAGACGAATCGGATTGCGGTTGAAACCGCCGCAGTGAGCAATTGAAGCATCGTCCAAATTCGGAAAATAATCATGAGTGGAAATGATATATATATATATATATAGAATAAATTGGTAAACGTGATTCTCGCGTGAAAGTGAACGAATCGCTCGAGACACAGCGGCGGGAACGGCGGTAAACGCCGTTTAAACCGTTCACCAAGCTCACTCGCGCTCTACTGACCTCTCTATGAGTTTACGCATCTCCTCGGTGGTCATGCCGTCCTTTCCGCGAGCATTCACTGAAATAGAAAAACACACGGCACGATTGACACAACGATTAAACTACTACGACAACACGTAACATGCAATTTGTGGAAGCTATAAATGATGATTAGGATTAATAAAAAAAAAAATTATATATATATAGAAAAAACACATATATAGTTCGAGGCGAGTCTTCCATTCGCGACTCGCTCGCCATGCGATACGTCCGCATAATGAGCCGTCGTACGCCTAATGCTTCAGTGCATATGAAACGAGCATCAGTAAGTAGAGCTGAATCGGAGCGAGATTGTTTTTTTTTTTTTTTTTCGAGAGAGAACACACGTTGCTGAGTTCAGCGCAAGATTCGATGAACGGAAGACAAGAGAGAGAGAGAGAGTCTACGACTTTTCCTCTCATCGAATCTCAGCTCGAGATCTCAGCTTCAGTGGTTTTCTCTTTGCTCGTTCTCCGATCTATCACGAATCTTTCTACTGACCGCCGTAGTTGCGGTTGACAAGTTGATCACGATCGCATTCGGCCTCGCTGATCTCGTTGCTCTCCTTGCTGTCGTTGAAGCTCGAGTTGTTCTGGTCCTGGTGGTTTCTCGGTGGTGGGGGAGGTGGTTCCGGCGAGTTGGAAATGGGAATGTTGCGAGCCGAGCCTACGCTGCGACGTCCGACCGATCCGCGAGATCCGTAGTGATCGTAGGGTGCGCCGTACTGTCCGTATTGTGATCCGTACTGGTCTTCCTCCGGTGCGCAATTAGCCGGGTCGTCGTATTCGGGTGAGAAAACGTTGTGAGTGCCGCTTCCACCTCCTTGGGACGGTACTCGAGAATAGCGACCATTTTGACGAGGCTGTGAAAAAAAAATCGATCACGATTTCCAATGACAATCAGTCGTTGAACATTGATTTCTAGCGCGAACTAACTGCTTGTTCTCACGCAAATATTCTCCACGCAAGGACATGCAAGGACGGAATTTCTTTTTATTTTTAAAGGACAATAATAACAGTGTGAGTACGTTTTGTTTTAATAATAAAAAAAAGCGGTATAAAAGATACCATAGATTGAGATCCGGAGCGGCTGTGAGCAGAAGCATTAGTCGGGTGTCCTACTGGTGGTCCCATCGTGCCGGAGTGTCCGTTTCCTGGGTGCGGAAAGGTTTGAAATTGCATAGCCTTGCTCGGATCCATTTCCTCGCGGAATCCTAAGAGATGAAAGGTGGCGTACGGACAGATCTCATCCTCCATACCTGCAATTAGGTAATCAACCAGGGTAGATCCTGCCGCTATATGCGAAACAATCTATGAAGAATCATATGTTTAAATGATAAAGATTGCTTTGTGGAAATGTTGCTTCTCGCGCAAGGGAAATCCAAAATGTGTGACATTAATGAGTTTATTTTGATCGGAAATAGGTATGTATATAGATTCGGAAAGAATTTGTATAAGCAATCTTTTCTCCTATCTCTCTCTCTAATGATTCTACATGCGACTTTCTATACTCAGATTCAAACGAGCAAGGAAAAGTCTTTTACTCACTTTAATGTTTCTTCTTTCCTCGATTCTCATTTCTATATACGTTAAATCGTCAATAAAAATCTTCAATAAAATCGATCATGCGAATATATATATAAATATGTATATATATTATTGAAAACTCTTTTAAACGGAACTGATGACACAGAAATTTTTGTATTAAAAATAACGACGAGTAAATAATAATTCTTTTCCTATGTGATTCGTGTTATTTTGTTCGGCGTGCTATGAGAGCGCATGCGAAAACGTGCAACATTGAGAAACGAAACGTGCCGTTGTAAAAATTGACACGAACGTTCGTTGGGGCGAGGGAGGGACTTACGAAGACCGGCTAGGACAAGCCAGCAACGTCACCGGAACTGCGACTACCGATCTTACGGGGGCGATCGGGCAATTTTGCCGGACGCATCCCGTTAACAAAACTGCTATTACCAACCTCTGTGCGAGAGACCGTCTGTGCTGCCCATCCGTGGTGGTGGCGGGCATCTTCTGTTAGGCGCGTAGTGACTCAATTCCTCATACATGTGCCGTCTCGGATCCCACGTTGAGTGACTCCTTAACGAGCCAGTTCCACCTATCGAACACATACTACAAAGGTCGTACAACGCGCTGGCGCCTATCAAGATTCGTTCCCGCCAACACTGTGATCTGGTCGGTATGGTCATGTCTAAGGGTGTTCTTTTTCTTTTTGCAATATTGATTCTTGTTAGGCACCAACGACGTGATAAGCGCAAACAAATAGGAAAAAACATTATATTTTGCTGAAGGGACATACATCTTGGTAAAACGTATATATATATATGTATATATATAAGAACATTTCGAAGCGAGGCGAACAAAAAGAAAAATTGGCGATGTATGATCGTGTGTATGGATAATATGTCTTGGCCTGAATGAATGATCGTGAAACTGGCTCAAAAGCCAAACCTAACGTTGTATGTGCGATATTTAACGTGTAATCTTTGAGAAAAGATGAAAGAAGGAACTATCGTGCCGATGCGACAACTAGACAAGTAGTCGAAACTGGTCTAAGAGGTAAGTGTTGGCAGTTGTGGCTTACTTATAACTGTACCTCGCTTGATACGATCGCAGGTGTTGTAATTGGAACCGGGTACGGGTGGCAGTTTGCGATTCGGTGGTGCAATGTATCCAAGTTCGTCACGAAGATCGGATCTGCGTTTGTCCAACGTGGCGCCGCCAACTCCGGTTTGTTGATACACAACGTCATCTAAAACGGAAGTATGTGAATTCATTAAATATGTGTACACACAAATCGGTATTTCTCATGTATTACATTGATTATGCCATCACCCACGCTTGCTTTGTCAACAAAAGGAAAAATATCGGAGGAAAAGAATTTTTGTAAAAGGTCGGGATGTTTCTCTTTTTGTCGGAAGGATTTCAAGACTAGGGTGGCCAACGCATGGATTGATTGTCGGAAAATTAGTATGACATATAATGTGCGTGTAATTTTTCTATTCTCAAGAGATTTGTTTTGACTAATCTTCTTAAGATTTTTAGTGTATTTTCCGACAAACCTCCACCGTCTTTATGTGACTTAACAAGTAAAAGTAATGAAAAAAAATTTTATACATTGTCCCTCGTAATATTTCTCGTCGGCTGAAGAGATACCTCGCAGCCGTGTTTGTTCCGGGCCTCGAGTTCTTCTCGAGAGTGCCACGCATACGACAACTATTCCTACTATTATGACAACGACCGTCGCGCCGATCGGCACCACCACGTTTACGTCGAGCCAGTTGGGTAACCATGGGAAGTAACGTCTCACATCGGCGGCGTTGTCGTTACCACCGTTACGTACGGGAGGTGCGATCGTGCCTATCAAGAGAGGGAGAAGAAACAGAACGAATTAGATATCGCGTTTACCTTTATCGCTACCATGACCCTTTCCTCTGAGAACGCAGATCACGATGACGGCAACGATTATAACGAGAATAGCTGCTACCACGGGCACGACCAGATTTAAGTTAGTCATGAAAATTTTTATCGGGTCCTCGTCGTTGCCACCACCGTTATTCACGTCCGGTATCTCGCGGGCCGGTGCAATGGTGCCTGGAACAAAAAACGTTTTGGCGACCAATTAGTCCAGCCACCATTTAGCACCGGCTAACGAGGTGCCGCTGCACCCCAAAAACACTCAGACGCACCCAATGTCTACTTACCGCCAGTCACCGTCAACGTTGCGAATTCGTACTCGGCCACGGCGAAACCGGCGTTGTTGTGAGCCGTAACGCGCAGAGAATACCAGCTCGCAGGATCCAAATCCATCACTATGAAGTTACCGTTCGGTTTGACGTTGTTCGAGACCTGGTTCCATTCCTGCTGATGCCTGAGCAAGTATCAAACGTGTTAGCTGTTTATTCTAATTAGATTTGGACGTTCAGAAATTTTATCTTTTTATCTTACTTCTTTTTGTGTTCAACAACAAAATACAACATAGGGCAACCACCATCTCCCCAGGCATTTAGGTGCAGAGTAATGCTGTTCGTCGATACTTCGATGAACTTAGCCGCTTCAGGGATGACCGGTTTGGAGCCTTTCGTGCGCGTGTTCAAAATATCCGACGGATCGCCAGTTCCAATTCTGCGGTCAATAAAAGTTTCATATGTAAAATCTTATATGTGTTGTAAAATATCTTTTTAATTGATAATTTTAACAAGAATGTTACCCGTTATAAGCCGTGACGTAGATCTGATATCGGGAGCCGCACCACAGATTGTCGAGAGTGTACACTTGTACCGAGGAACTTGTCTGATGAGTTTCCCAGTCGCCAAATTCGGGTTTGTAGTGGATCGTATAACCATGAATCGGAGCATTGTCGTTGGAATGCGGGCGGAATTTCATTGTTATGGAATTGGTAGTGGTAGAGGTGAGAGCGACCTGTGGCGAGTGCGGAGGAGCTGCAAATGCAATTTGCATTTTGATTAAATCGGTAGCTAAAATAGCAACTACAGTTTCTGATTGTGGCTTCAGTCAAGAGTAACAACACGTACCGTGCACAACCAGTTGATGAGTCACAGTGTCATGTCCAAAGGAGTTCTCTACGTAGCAAGAATATTCTCCGGCGTCCGCGCGATCCACTTCCTTGATGAACAGCGATCCTTCGGGCAATTGTCTCAATCGATCGCTCGGTTGAAGAGTAGCACCACGTACTTTCCACGTTACTTCCGGCGCAGGTACGCCAACGGTGAGACACGGCAGCTTTACATCTTCTTTGTACGTTGCGGTAAATTTGTCATCGAACGATGCGATCTTAGCCGGCACTGAAAGTATAAAAAATTTTGATGTATAAAAATTAGAAGATTTAATGTTTCATATTGAATTAAACAAAACTGATTTTAAATTTGGTAAAACGGTCGTATTAATTTAAAAAACAGTTGAGATGGACCTTCCAGCCTTTGACTAGGGATGGTAGTAGTAGATAAATAAATTGAATAAATTAAAATATAAATTAAAACTGATTTTTCATACAAAATATATACAAATTTTATTCTTTCTAATTAAAATATAAAATATATAACATATAAATTACCTCGCACGCTTGGTGATAAAGTCACAATCTTGGAAGCTTCGCCTTCGCCTATGTTTGTGCTAGCGGTCACCCAAAATTCGTATTTAAGTTGTTTATCCAATCCAGACGCTTCGTGAGTTAATTGATTCGGCGGTACTTTCTGGCTGGTCGGTTCCTCCGCGTTATCTGCTTTCGCATAAACCGTATACTGAGAAATAACTCCGTTAGGCTGGCTAGGCGGACGCCATGAAATAAGAATAGATTCCGCTGACATGACCAGAGCTTTGATCGCAATCGGAGCCTCGGGTGCTAAAACGAAGATATGGAAAGATATGTGACTATGCTCTCGAGCAAAAAGAAATCTGATCTTATATATTTAATAAATTTTCTCATTTTTACCATCTTGCTCAGTTTGACAATGAATCGGTGCAGATTTAACGCCATCCCCACCGGAAGTGAATGCCAGAACTTGCATGCTATAGTTCGTGTATTTTTTAAGACCGTGCAAGATGGTTTCGCTAGAAGACGTAATCTTGGTATCCTTCGTATTTTCGTCGTACCACGTGTCGGATGGTCCATAGATGACCTGAAAATAAATATTTAAAGACACTTGTTGCGCAAGATTTATGTTTTTTTTTTTTTAAAGATTGCTTATGTTTTACTAACTTTGTAGCCGGTAATAACGCCGTTGGCTGTGCTGAGAGGTGGAGATACCCAAGATACTCTGATAGTTTGAGAGGTGAGAGTCGTGCAGGTAGTGTCATGGGGCGGTTGTTCGGGTACGCCTTCCGCAGTATGTTGCTTACGTTCCTCACTCATGGGTCCGGAGCCGACTTTGTTGAACGCCTGAACGACTACTCCGTATTGCGTGTAAGTTTTGAGATTCGTGATTTGCAGATGATGTTCCTTCGGGTCTTCCTTAGAGAATTCGACGGTCTCGAAATTGTAGGGTTTGTCCGCAAATTGTCTGTATCCAACGTAGTAGCCAAGAATCTCACCGTTCCAGTCTTCGCGTGGCGGTGGTTTCCATGTTACCTGATAATATTTTTTTATGTTTATTTTATATGTTTTATCGTAATTGTATATCTTAAATTGCTGTGCGATTCTTACCTTGAGCGTGTGCTGATCGAGAGCGTCTACCTTGACAGAAGTGGGTGGGCCGCTGGGTACTTCCTCGGCGGTAATGATAGTAACCGTGTCGGATGGATCGGACATACCAATTTCATTCTCAGCGACAATTCGAAGATGATAGGTAGTTGCGGGTCTCAGGTTGTATACTCCGGCTACGTTTTGTTGCGAACCAGGTACGAGTACTTTGTCCATATCAGTTTCCCAGGAACCTTTGCTGATCTTGTACTCAATGGTATATCGTTTGATAGGGCTATTTCCGTCGTAAGGTGCGGCCCATGATAATTGCACGGAACGTCCTGATTTATCCAACACTTTGAGACCATATGGAACTTCCGGTACCTCTATAAAAAAAAAAAAAAAAAGAAATTACACAAAGTAGAAATTACAAAAGTACGTACTCTTTAAATCGGCATTGCGTTATTTAATTTTAAATAAACCAACCTTGCACAATCATATTGATGCTGGTGTCATCGCTGCCGAATGCGTTTGTGGCTACGCAAGTGAACAAAGCAGAATCGGTTCTTTCGGTACGTTTGATGCTCAAGTCGGACAGCACTCCGTTAGCCAAGATTTCCTCGCGAATGGTATAACGCGGATCGCTCTTTGTGTCCAATCTCTTGTTGTTCATGTTCCATAAGATGCCGATCGGTTTCTCTCCCTGCGCCTCGCATTGCAATACAGCAGGTTCTCCACGACGAGCCGTTTGATTTCTCAATTTAATTTCGAATTGAGGAGGAGCTAGAATGTAAAAAAAAAATAAAAAAATGTGCAATATATAATAAGAATTATATAACAAGACAAAAAGATTTCTTTTTTCGTTAAAATACCTTGAACCGAAATGAGGATAACAGCAGACAGTCCTGATCCAATGCCGTTAACAGCTTCGCAGAGATAATAGCCCTCATTCGTCTTCTGTATGTTATTGATGGATAGAGTGCCATCTTCCACGCTAATGTCGGGATTGCTCAATTTCAAGTCAGTGTAATCTCCCGGCGTATCCCCTGGAGTGTGTAGAGAAAGCGAATTTAATTAGCTCAGTGCAAGTGGAAAAGTTTATTATTCATTGCAACTGCACTCACCAGCAGCTCTTTTCCACGTAACTTGAGGCTTGGGGAATCCGTCGGCTTTACATTCGACTCGCGCGTCAGATCCCTGTGCAAATGCCTTATCGGTCGGTTCCAGAATCCAACGAGGGGGTACTGTTACAGAACAAACTGATTAGTCGCGATGTGTGCACTTTCGCGCAACACGCGATTTTGCAGTATCCAGGAGCCAGTCGTTTGCAACACTCGAGTCATCAAAACAAATCTCTTAGAAAAGTTACTTTATTTTTATAGTAAAAAAACATTTTTTACATAAAAATTTAAATCGGATAGCAATTATGCATATGTACTAATAAATTATTATCTCTTTCATTTTAATTATAAATCTTTTTACACGTAATAAACAACAACAATTAATATTATGTACGTAGATCTAATTTTCAAAAAATTTTAACAAATTATTACTACATCTCTTGATTTTTAAATTTGTTTTTATGTTGAAAACAAATTAATAAAATTGAGTAAAATAATGTTTTAAAATTACAATTTAAACATCTTTGATCTTGTTACAATGGACACGAAATTGACTCGAATTGTAGCAGTTATATCACATGCGGAACAAATCAGCGACACGCTCCCGCTACTGCGGTGAATATAATAATGTAAGTACAGCATGCGGGATTCTTAGATGATTATGCGGGTATCTAATACATAAAAGAGAGAAAGACAGAAGAGAGAAAGAGATGATGCAGGCAGAAAGAGAGACGGCAAATTTGGCTCTGAAGGAGCTCCTCAATGACGAGCATGCACTATCGAATTTTTGTACTCGAGCGCGGTGCAATCATGCTGTTGCGAATAATACTCGATTACGCTTAGTTCAAATATATAATACGTGCATGTATTTTTTATATTATCTACACTCTACGTACGCGTTCTACAAAAAACAAGGCAAGTGTGGTGAGGTGGTGAAGAGAGGCGGGAAAGGGCGTGGAGAGAGAGTTCATTCAATGTGGACGGAGAACTGATGAACTGATGAAAGGGGTGAAGAATTTCTGATGAGATGTGGTTGGATGGTCGGTCGGTCATCTTAAGAACAAAGGACGCGTTTTAGCGCGATAGGGGGGTACGGTGAGGTATAAATCGACACTCGAACGTAACGAGACGAGTAACATTGGCAACTTGCATTGTGAGACCTACGCAATCCTTGCGATCGCAAAATAACATATATTAACAACGTTTGCGCTTAACACACACGGAAACGGCGAACGCGTCCGTGAAGAACTTTAGAAAAAACGCGATGAGATTTCACGTGTGCGAAGGAAAGGCACATCCTGTGAGAGGGTCGCGTTATATTTCGCCGCAGAAATATGATCGAAGCCAACGTAAAAATGACGCAGAAGAATGACGGCTGACGATGAGAGAGCAAAGATAACGAGGCGGGCAAAATAAAACGAAGAAAGGCTATATAACAACAAGTTTGGCAAAAAGCTATTGATTCTCGGGAGCACAAGGGTCATTTTGGATCTTACTCGTTCGCTCATTTGAAATACACACGGTAGTACGATAGTAAAGAGGGGAAGGAAATTACAGCGTGTGTGAAAGATATATACTCAGACAGAATAGAATAGAAACAGAGCAGAGCAGAGAGAGTAGAATATTAGATTTATTTATTTAACAAAGATATAGAGACAGAGAGAAAGAGAGAAAGAGAGACAGAGAAAAATGTAAAAAAAAAAAAAAATAAAGTGGCGAGATAGCGGGAGAAAGATTATATATATATATATATATATATATATATATACGCGCGAGAGAGTCGTCACCGGCGACGAAAGCAACGCGCTGCGTTACAAGTAAGTTGGCTTGATCGCGCGAGCGCCGTACCAAATGAAATTCCAGAAAGCTTTCGCCAACAGGGAAAAGACACACGATCAGCTTCACAGCAACGATGAGTATAAAAAAATGCAATCAATCATCAAAGCCTGCACTCAAATACTCTCGCGGGACCGATTGTGCGGCCGCAATTTTCATTCCGAAAAACTTCGCTCAACCATCTCATTATTAATTATATATTATTATAATCATGTCATGTGCTCCTCTTTCTTTACTCTGGACCTAACCGTGGACTCGTAAGGTTGCCTCGTGGACCGCTTTGCCCGACGGATTACTAGCGATACACGCGTAACGTCCGCCATGCTCCGGTGTTACCGGCTCGATCAGTAGTATACTCGTCCGTGGGCCGAGTTTCCCGACGCTGTATCCCATGAACTGCGATAACGATTCGCCCCCGTGGGTCCAGGCGATCTCGATCGGCGTGTCGCCAACCGGCACCATGCATGCCAATTGGGCGGCCTGCCCGGCATAGATCGGTTGGTCTCCAAAATCGAACGGACTGATCCGTGGCAGGACTGCAACGTAACGACAGGTAGATCTCCACGTTCTCGTAACGATTTTCTCTCCCCCGAGTTCGTCGCGACTGATGCCAGTTTGCCATTATTATTATTATTTTTTTTTTTTTTTTTTATACTGTTATCTCTGTAATCTTCTCGTTCGAGACAACTTAGCGTTGGTTTTCTTCTTTTGTAGTCAGTCTGTAGTTGTTCTCCGTAAATTGCGTTATACGTTTTCCGTTTGTTTAAAAATCGACGATAGAGAGTACATAAACTAATTACACACGAGTTAATTAATAGAAATCACCACTTTTGAAGAAGTCGATTCGAAAAACGGTAGCGCTTCGGTATGGTATGTCGAATATAATATGCTCGAGCTGTCGAGATGAGAGGCGGGGATACGGAGTGACAGAGAAAATGTGGCAGAGAGTGTGATGAGAGACAGATTTCTGGGGCCGGGAAAAGAACGTGGGGGGAAAGACCGTGGGCTCGTCTCGTGGCATCGACTCGATTCAAAAAAATGGGCACAAACTACGCTTCGTCTATGCGAACCAGCTAAAAATCGACTTATTTTTAATCTCGTTAAAAAGGAAGATAACTTTCTATAGAAGATAGAAAGAAAGAAATATACGTCGAGCAATGCAGACACTTCCAGACACACATATATCTCGCAATATAATCGTTATCGCAACAGGGCAACAGACAAAATTGGAGATTGTTACGACGTATGTATCAGAAGCGGCAGCAAAAGGGTAGTACACAAAAGTAGTCTAATAAATATCGAAACGCTACTTGATACAGAGAGAGAGTGTTTTAAATATATACGTAAATATCTACAACCGAGAATAAAAGGGTAAACGTACCAGCTTTCCGCTCAAATAGTAACACGCATACAAAACGGTAGTACTCTCACTACGCGTACGCCCGTTAAACACCATCATCATGCCGCGCGGTTTCGCTTTGTGTTAAAGAAAATATATATATATGTAATCGTTTTTTTTTTTTTCTGTTTTACTGGATGCGTTTTGTTTTTGATCGTGTGTTCGTTTTTTCTCTGTACCGTTCACTTTCAGATGGGCACTGTGACGTGCACTGCCCGCTGGATTATCGGCGACGCAAGCGTACTCCCCGGCGTGCTCCCCCCTGACAGCGGGTATCGTCAGGGTTGAGACTCTATCGCCCAACGCGGTGATACCCACTCCTTCGCCCACTTCTAAATGGCGGCCCTCGAACAACCACTTGAGCGAAATCGGCGTGTCCCCCTTCACGACCGCGCAATGGACGATTATCAGATCGCCGGAGTTGGCCTCGTCGAACGTGAACGGCTGCAGATGTGGAACGACTGCCGAGAGATAGAGAAACGGACAGAGGCTGTAGAGATACAATAGGCAAAAAATAACACACACGCGAAGAAGAGAGACACGCGAGCGAGAACGCGAACCTCCGCTTGTTATCGAGGCTAATCCTGCGCGCCGTGCGCTAGATCTAGACGCGATATATCGTTGAGCGCCGCAATTAGTCCGGTTTCGTAACAGCCTGCTCTCTCGCGTCCAATCGTGATCGGCGAAAATAACGATCTTGACTGATATATTTATAAGCGCAATAAGGAAATCGTTGAGAGCGCGACGGATATTTGAGCGGAAATTGATTTTGACATAATACGGAGGTGTCTACGGGACAAGCGTTGGATTCGGGAAAATCGCCTTGGATGATGAAGATGGGACAAGGATTCGCAAAACTCAAATGTCGAGTAGAGAATCTTTAGCAGAGAAATCTTTGCGAATTAGTATGCACCGTTCACAATAAGATCGGCCGAGAGCTCGTGCCTGCCGGCAAGGTTTTCCGCGATACACGTGTACGTTCCAGCATGGGTCGCCTGGACGGATCCTATGCTCAGTATGGCGCCGCGTCCGCCCAGATCCACGATCGAGATTCCAGAGTGCGGCGATATCGCATGACCGTTTAAGGTCCAACGGAGCTTCAAGGGTGGATCGCCCTCGACCACTGCGCACGGTACCGTTACTACTTGACCCGAGTTAAGCGGCTCCTCGCCGAACGAGAACGGTAATAATTTCGGAATGACTGGAAGAGAAAGAGAAAAGAGATATCAAAAAGCGAAAGAAGGAATTTCGAGGCAGACCAGCGATCGGGCAGCGATGATTTTTTTTTTTTTCAGATCGATGACGGAAAAAAACTCGTATTTTTTCTCGCGCGAGATAGTTATCTGCTCCTCGCTTCATTTTCGTTTCCTCTCTTCGTTTCTTCTTTCTCCCGCTTTATTTTCATCTGTGTGTTGTGGAAGGTGTCGTATTTTTGTATTGTATTTCTGACGCTGTATTTCGCGATGCGCAATTTCGAAAGAACAAAAATCGCAAGAGAAAACACAGGCTTATAAATAAAGAGATCGAAAAATGCGCGTCATGTTCATGTTTATTAACATTCGACAGTAGCTAAAACTGACGAGAACTCTAGAGAACACAGACACACACGTCGTGCTACACGAGTAATAAAGTGCTACACAAAGCGAAGGAAAACGAACTGCGCTCAGAAGAACTCAGAGAAAAAAAAGAGAGAAAAAATCATAAAGTATATTAGGAATCAGATCGAGAACAATAGGAGAAATACATGAGGAAAAAATAGGAAAGTGTGAGAAATACATGTCGAATGAGAAAGATGTTCTGTCTGAAAAAAAAAATGCAACAATCGCGGGCACAGACATCACGAAAGTTGGTACCATTCACGTCCAAAGTAGCTGAATGAGAGACCGAT